GTTCGGTATATGCCCGATAAGGCAACCCTCTACGCGGCCCAGCCGCAAAGTTTTGCAAAGGCTCGTTCTGATGGGGTCGCCATGCCAATCATAGGGTTGGATATCTCTGAGGAGGTGATGGATGTGGTGTTGCCGGTGGCATGTCAGCATGCTGAGGTAGCTGTCATCGCTGCTGTGCCTCGCACTTATATCACGCAGGCGGATCCGGCACGTTTGCATTGGCTCCGTGCTGTGCAACGGGACGACCGTTTGAGTGTTTTGCAAGTAGGAACTAAGTTTTGGTTGGTTGTGTTCAGCAATGCTATGTGGAAGCGCGCCCTGGTTAAGGACACAACGCGCGCCGTTCAGTTACTTTAGTGCCTTTTGGGTGGTCTACCGCCAGCTCACCCAGCGCAATCCGCGCATGAGCTGGGGGGGGGAGTGATCCATCCGCATTTCTTATGTCTGTTAGCACGTCATATGGCGTGACAGCTGTCACGCCAAAACATCTGGAGCGCACAAATTACGTGCCACGACCGAGTTAGTCGCTATCCGCAGGTGGTTAAGCCAACCGAAGGTAGTTAGGCGAACCGCGTGTTGATTTAATTGAGACTTTGGGTGTTGCCTGACTAGCGTATAAGGCGCTTTCCGTTGTGATTTGAGGATGTTAGGTTGTCGTTCATCTGTCGTTAGTCGGATGAGCGTTACGCATCCAGGGAAGGGCCGGGTGTGATAAGGCCCGGCGTGGATCAGTCGGTACTTCGCCATAAATGTGAGTGCGAAGAGGCCAAACACTTGTCGTTTGGCTCTCGAAGCAACTCTTCGTGAGCGTATAGACCATTATATTATTGGAGATGATATAATTATAGGAGGGTTGATAGGCCTGTTTTGGTGTAACAAGACTGTGATCCTACCCTACCTCGAGACGCGCATCAGAGCAGGATAGACAGAGAGTGTACACACAGCATTCCATAAGGTCCGCCCTTAGTGCTCATACCTCTAGGCTCGACAGGGATCCGTTCCCAGCCCGTCCTCGCCTACCACGATCGCGCTCATCAAGTTGAGTAAGCTGGAGTGAGCCAGCCGAGTCAAGCCGGAGCTTTAAGGAGAGCTCCTATTGTATAATCATCATTCACCCACAGTGATCCATCCGCATTTCTTATGTCTGTTAGCACGTCATATGGCGTGACACCTCGGGACTGCTCTCCAGAAGTGGTCACCGTCAAGGACGTTAGCACCCTGCCATCTGCAAGAGAGCAGCTCGCCATGATAAGGACCGAAGTCCAAGTGAACAACGCGCCGAAGCTCACAGCCCCCCATGAGCAGCGTGAGCAGCTTGACGAAGGAACACTCATGCTTCTCGAGACCGCCATCACTGCGCTGGGGGCGAGCAAACCCCAGCTGGCCGTCGCGGGAGAGTGCCTCAAGATCACCCACCACCACCTTAAGTGCTACTCCGTCACTCTGGCCAAGGCGGGCCCCGGAGCCAACGGTAACTTCATGGCCCCCTACGAGATCTGGCATGGCAGGCAATGCAACTTCACCAAGCCAGAGTTCAAACCAGAGGCCATAGATAAGGGTGACGGACAGGGACGGTCCGCCGGGTCCCTTTGGCGGGGAAGAGACCGGCAGGGTGGAGTGCGGGATTCGTTTGGTTGTGCACATCAGAACGACCGCAGCTGCTATGACCGCGTAGCGGTCGTAGCAGCTGCTATGACCGCTACGACCGGTGCAGCCACTGTGACCGAAGCCGCTCTCGCAACCCGGCTAAGCACGGCTGATCAGGATTTCTGTTGGCCTCACGGTCTCTGGTGCTGCCCTGACCCTCCCTCACCTTCCTCTTGTCTTAAGCTCAGTGGCCCCTCCGTGCAGTTCGCGGTCGTTGTTGCAGGGGCCCACAAGTCCAACGAGTGTTATTCGGTTGTAATGGAGAATGCATTGGCCCAGTCATTGACAAGACTTGATCTGCTAAGTAGCACATCCGGTTTTTTTCCAGACCTTTCGCCGCTAGAAGATGTCGTCACCAAGTCGGACCTGGAGTGAGGTTCTTATGTAACGCACGTGCACTCTTGCCCGTTGGTGGCATCTGCGATTGGCCTTGGGGGCCTCATTGCCGTGTTGGCTCGGTCCTGTTGACCATGGCGGCTTCTAGGCCCAGGTGGCCGGCTTCAAACTGGACCTGTCCTTGCTTCCGTCCGAGAATTTCTTCATGCATGTGTTGTATCATGTCTTATCACAGGAAAAGAACCGATCGGCGGATGTCAATCCCGTGATACCCAGCGTGCTACAGCATGCACCTAACAACGACACAGAGGCATCGAACAGGTTGGAGGCCCTGGTGGCCCCTGTCCCCTGAAGTGCAGGTCGTCCCCACATAGCCCGCTTTGGTTGCTGTCATCCCGGGAGCGGCGGCTTTCCCCCGTTTTTTTAGCCTCAGTCACCACGAGCCCCGGGCTCTATTCATCTCCCCTGTTCCTTTTGTCTCTCTCCATGTAGGGAAGACGGCCACCACAGTACTGGGCGCACTGCTTGTTGCCGCGGGCTTTCGAGCCCCTGGCCCCATGCAGCCCCCACCTGCCCAACAAGACAACACACAATTGGAGACCAAGAACACCGCCAAGCGTCCTGCACCCGGCCCTGCAGAGCCCACCCTGCCTCGGACCAAGGTCGCCTGCCAAGACCAGGAACCACATCCAGGCCCAGGAGCCCCATCGAGGAGTGAAACAGCGGGCCCAGAAGGTGAGAACCCAGCTCCTTCGCCTGCTGATACGCCTTGCAAAGCAGCACCTCGTAGCATGGGTAGTAGTGATAGGCCTAAGATGCGGGGGCGCTTGAGAGCCTGTGCTGCAGTCTGGAAGGCGATAGTGGTCAACCAGCTCATGCTGAGCTGGGTCCTGCAAGGGTTCCCTCTGTTGTGGCACTCAGGACCACCCCCCTGGCCGTACTGGGGTAAGAATCACCAATCTGCACAGGACCACGGGGATTTTGTGTCGTCCACCATAGAGGGTTTGCTGGGGTCGGAGACCATCAAACCTTGCCACCCGCCTTTTCATGACCTGCCCGTTGGGAGTCGTAGAGCAGAAAGGCAAGCTCCACCTCATCTGACACGGACGTGAAGTCAATAAGCACCTGCACATCCCGGATTTCCGCTATGAGTCGCTTGTGCAGGTCCCAGGCTGGCTACACCCTAAGGACTACATGTTCACCCTGGACCTGAAATCTGGTTACCACCACATGGACGTACGAGAAGCAGACTGGCGCTACCTTGGTTCCAAATGGCAAGGCCAGTTCTACGTCTTCACCCAATTCCCTTTCGGCCTTGCCTCCGCCTGTTGGGCATTCACCAAGCTTACACATGAGATCATGCGGACTTGGAGACGGAAGGGCTGGTGGTGCTCAGGATACATTGACGATCAGATCCACACCCACCAGGACGCCCAAACCCTAATCACCCGCCGCACCATAATCCTCGACCTCCTCGAATGCCTGGGGTTCTGCATGAACCATGACAAGTCAATGATGGGTGAGCCCCAGCAGCGCGTGAGGTATCTAGGTATGCTGTTAGATACAGCTAAGGGTGTGTACACTGTGCCCGATGACAAGCACACTTTCCGCTCAGCCATGGAAAAAAGGCGCATCAAGGCGAGAAAATTGGCCTCCATTAAAGGGCAGCTGTTGTCCATGTCCTGGGCGTTCGGGCCAGTAGCCCGCCTTCACACCCGGGCTCTGGGACGCCTTTCGGTTCCACTCACTCGGGGAACGACTTGGTCATGGATGTGGTCATGCGGGGGGTTTCCTGTCATAGATCTGGTCATGTTGCCTCATGACCACTCATGAGGCCTCATGACCGGTCATGTTACCGGTCATGAGGCAGAGTCATGGTCATGACAGTTGTCATGCTCCTTGTGCAGCATGACTGATCATGAATCGCCACTCATATGTGTAAATTCAGTCATGTTCCCAATGGTCATATGCTGGCTATGTGTTCATGTTTTGTTCCTTTCTAAAAAATGACAATTATATGCCATATGGACTCCGGAATCCCTTCTGAAATGCTGCATAGTATATTACCTCTATAACAATGTGCACAATGTACTATACAGCATCCCTGCCGGGATTCTGGAGTGCACTTGAATTACCTTCGTTTCAGCCACTTGCAGTGACTTGATATGCATTCAGGCGCGGCCGTAAACAAAGCCCTTAGGCTTAGCTGCACTTATCCAACGCAAAAGATCAGTATATGCCAGCTAGCAGGGCAACTTCCTTTTGGCCTGTTGCCATGCCTTACTCGGTCAGCTCCCTTACACCCTGTTGTTAATTTGAAGCCATATGTTACATACTTAAGGCATGTATTTAAGGTTTAATTAGCAAAGATTCTCTATTCCTGCTATTTCCCGCCGCCGCCGCGCCTGTTGTTCAGACAATTGCATCTCCCAGCCCCACCTCCGTCGCTGCTACTCCGTTGCTAATTCCCGCCGCCGCCGCGCCTGCTGCATTGCTATTTCCCGCCACCGCCACGCCTGCCGTTTAGGCTACTGCACCTCCCAACCCCACCGCCGTCGCTGCCACTGCTGCTGCGTTGCTAATTCCCGCCGCCGTCACGCCTGCCGTTTAGGCTACTGCACCTCCCAGCCCCAACGCCGTCGCTCCTGCTGCTGCTGCGTTGCTATTTCCCGCCACCGCCGCACCTGCTGCTGTTGCTATTTCCCACCGCCGCCGCGCCTATTGTGCAGACTAATGCACCTCCCAGCCCCACCTTCGTCGCTGCCGCTGCTACTCCGTTGCTAATTCCCGCCGCCGCCGCACCTGCTGCTGTTGCTATTTCCCGCCGCCGCCGTGCCTGTTGTTCAGACTAATGTATCTCCCAACCCCACCGCCGTCGCTGCCGCTGCTGCTGCGTTGCTGATTCCCCCCGCCGCCGCGCCTGCTGTTGAAAGTAATGGCCCTCCCAGCCCCACCTTCGTCGCTGCTGCTGCTGTTGCGTTGCTATTTCCCGCCGCCGCCGCGCCTGCCGTTTAGGCTACTGCACCTCCCAGCCCCACCTTCGTCACTGCCGCTGCTACTCCGTTGCTAATTCCCGCCGCCGCCGCGCCTGCTGCTGTTGCTATTTCCCGCCGCTGCCACGCCTGCCGTTTAGGCTACTGCACCTCCCAGCCCCTTCGCCGTCGCTCCTGCTGCTGCTGCGTTGCTATTTCCCGCCACCGCCGCACCTGCTGCTGTTGCTATTTCCCACCGCCGCCGCGCCTATTGTGCAGACTAATGCACCTCCCAGCCCCACCTTCGTCGCTGCCGCTGCTACTCCGTTGCTAATTCCCGCCGCCGCCGCACCTGCTGCTGTTGCTATTTCCCAC